GGAGAAGCCAAGCTTGAGAGTGGAACAAATTAATTCAGAAGAGATTACTTCAAGAAATCGCCGCCAAAATCCAATTTTTCAGCATCAAGACGGTGACGTGGACTTCACGAAGCGACCAGAGGTGGCTCGCCTCCCATGTCGGGCAATCCATGATTTACGTCCGTAAGACAACTTCCCAGACATTTCCAATTACTTACCCTGCACTCCGTTGGCCAAAACGTTCAGGGGAACAGAAGGATTTATTTATTTTCTGCCATTTGATACGGATTTCGATCCTTGACTTTCAGCCACTTAATAATGAAAAAATAATAATAAAAGGCATTCACCTCTTGCATTACATTCAGACACCAACTGGCACCCAAGTTGTCCACGCTTCGTGAAACCGGATCCCTCCGCCAACAGTTGTCCTCAACTTGGGCAACAGCCCAGGAAGATCACCAGCCTCCTTGTGAGATATTCCCAGGATTTAGTGCCTATCTTATTCCAAGCTCAGCTGAGGCCAGTCTTTTGCCATCATGCTCTGTTCCAACAGGACATGGTCTCCAAAAGAGGAAAAGCCTCTCCCAGTAGCTGCTACCCTACTTGTTTGTATATTTATCTCTTTTTAACTGGATGTGAGAAAGGTCCTTGCTTTACTCTACAGATGGGAACTCAAGTCTCGGGACTCGCTGTCAAGTCAGACTTAAGTCAAACTGGTGACTCAACTTGGAGTTGACTTGGGTTGTTTGTTTTTGTTTGTTTGTTTGTTTTGTTTTCCATGATTCGGACTTGCCACTTGGAAACCACCCACCCCTCCCTCTTTTCTGGGGGAAAAAGCTTGTTTTTAATAGGGACTCGGACTTGGGACCACGTCATTCCACCAGCTTCCGATGCATTTGGGTCTCCGTCCTCCTTCAAAGACCCTGCCCTGCCTCCCCGGATACCTGTTATACATAGCTGATCTCCCCCAAAATTGTCTTAGCATCATATAGAGTCATACGGTTCTTCTAAAGCAAACTGCTAGATAGCTCGGTGGTTTAGGTCTCTGACTGTGGCGCCAGAGGTTGGGCGTTTGATTCCCCCACGGAGCCTCCTTGCCAGGAGAAAGACTCAAGTGACCTATAGGGCCCCTTTCTAGCTTGGTAGTTCTATGATTATTATGACCTAGTTCTGCTGATGCAGAGCATCCCTAAGAGACCGTTATCTAAGCCCCATTCAAAAACCTCCCAGGAAGGAGGATTCACAATCGTCTGAGCCAGTCTGTTCCACTACGGAGCAGTTCCTCCGATCAGAAAATGCGAAAACACATCTGACTGTCCCAGTGCTAATCTTCGCACTTCCTTACGAGCGTCATGCTAATTATCCTTCTTTCTATTTTGTGACCATTCGGATTCAGAGGGTTTCGATCGTATGTCCCACATGCACTATGTTGTGTGCCTTGTTGAAATTGCTTTCATCCTTGCATGGATACCTGAGAAAGATTTTTCAGACACACACCGTCACTTGAAGCCAAATATCTCTACACAGTCTGCAAGGACTCCTGTAGACACGTAAGGAATTTTAAAGGGAATTCGCAGACGGGGGAGCTTGCTGGAAAGGCTATAGAGGAGTCGAAAAATATATTTCTGAATTAGCAGAGTGGTGGGCGAGGAAGACAAGGGCTCGGCCATAACTGCAAAGCGAGAGTGAGGCATAATGAGTGGAAAGGAATTATATCGAAGAGAAATGCAAGTAATGAAGTGAAAAACCAAGACAAAAGAGAGACTTGGAGTAAATACCAGGAAAAATGTCTGGGATTTCAATGCAGTTGGTCGGGGGACTTTGCAGGAAAAAAGGGGGGAAGGGGAGAACGGAATTTGATCTAGTCACACTTCATTGAGTTCTCGAAGGGAAAGGTTCTTCGGAGCACCGTTAGATTTTAATTTTAATTTCGGGACAAAGGGGAGGAGAGAGGGCTCAAGCTGTTAGGAGCACACACTTGCCACGTTTCAAATCCCTCCACTTCAGTTAAGCTGACGACTTGGGGGCAATTCTTCTCCATAGTTATCTTTCTTTAATAACACCTAAGAGACGCTTCATTTTTTATCAGGAAGCCAGAGTGCTGCTGGGTTTTAAACGCACACTTTAAAAGAGTGGCATTCACAGATATCGAGAAATATTTGCAACAACCAACATCGGTTGCAGTGCATCATCCACTACCAAGTTCAGCCCAAGTTACTTTTCCGGACTATGGCTTCCATAATTCTCCCAGGCTGGGAGCTGTGGTCTGAAAAACTAGAGGTGATGAGGCATCGTCTTCCAAGTCAAGCTTCTTTTCTGATAATCCCCAAAAGCAATCATGAAGTATACAGTGTTTTATGTTTACTCAAGCTGGCTGGATATCTTGGTGGTTTAGGTCTTTGGCTGCAGAATTGGGAGTTTAATTCCACCACTTTGTCTCCTGAGAGTAGAACCAGCCTGGGTAGCCTTGGGCAAGTGTCATATCCTCAGGGCCTCCCCCTGAAGAAGGGAAGGGCAAACCACTTCTATGTCTTCTCTGTCCCAGAAAGAGCCAGCCCGGGTGGCCTTGGGCCAGCTGCACAGCCCCAGGGCGCCCCCTGGAGGAAGAGAATGGCAAACTGCTTCTGAGCGTTCTCTACCTGGAAAACCCTCTAAAAGGTCACCGTAGGTCAGAATTGACACGACAACTCATGATTATTTTTCATGTTTACTCATCCTCACCACACTCTAAAAAGAAATGTAACTGGCCTGGAAATTAAAATGAGAGGCCTTTTATGGCCTTTCATCCAGCGGGGTTCCTCATCTATGAGTCTAGAAAAGGATTGTACGATCCTGGAATACTACAATATATGGTTCTTGATTTCAACGACCCGCCATGCAGTTTGCTGTGCGACAGTCGGTTTTTCTCCTTCCCCATCTTTATATTTGGAAAACAACAAGAGTTTTCACCGATTTCTACAGAGGAACAGTTGTATGTAGTTGTAGTTATTCCTTCCCCATCATCTCCCGTTGAGTCTTGCTTGTAGATTTGAACTTAATAGCAACAAATTGCCGCATCTTGGGTTTGTTTTTTTTTCCTGTCCACACTGCACCTAGGCCCAGTATCAAGCACTTTGAAAACACCAAAGGATGACATCTCTCTAATAACCCACTCCAAAAAATACAAAACCATGAACATTTAAAAAAAAAAACAGACAGGGGAAAAAACCCACTCCAGATTCATGCAAACCCAAATGTGTACACTCAAATTTATTCGATCCAAAGTGTCAGTCATGGAAAATGAGTTCTGCCATAAATGGGGGAAAAATACAATAAAATATTACGACAAGGAAATGACCTAATGGACTGAGGCAGATTGAATTAATTTGCTATTAATTAAGTGCCCCAAGCAGAATCCATTGGGGGAAGTGACCCAACACCAAGATTCTAATTAACAGAGTTCTTTCCCCCTTGATAAATTATATTAACTTCATGGAATGTTCCAAATAAAAGTAGATTTTTAAAAAAAAATCCCTCCGTGGATGCCAGTGGGGGGCCCCCTCAAAACATTTCAGCTAATAAATTAAATTACTTCCCAAATGTATATTCTAGGAAATTCTGAAGAACAAGAAATAGAATTACAGATTTCCCAGGGTCTAACGCTAGCCCTGTTTTCTGCTTTCTTGACTTGGTTTTTGAGCCATCCATCTGGGACATTGAGAGTTTGTGACCCACCCCAATAGGTTGCAAATTTAAATCTAAGACAGGTTGCGCCATTATATTTTTATTATTTTATAAGCGTAAGAATAGTCTTTCTGTTGCTTTACCTGTGTTTTTAATGTTGCTCTTATTATGACTTTGAAGTATCTGTTTAATTTTTTTAATATTACAATAACTTATCCTTTAGCTTTTAACTTTGTGTTGTGTTTTTTTCCATACTATAAGCCGCCTTAAATCTTTTAGGACAAAGGCAGCATATAAATATTTTAAATAAACGAATAGAATAACCTAGACACAGGGAAAGAACGTCATTGGGGTAATCCCTCTGGTTTGTCAGGAAAACCATTCTATCTTTTTCTTCCCTATGCTAAAAATTTCCCTTCACTGTTCTTTCCAATGCTGAAGAAAACCTGGAGGATGCACAATTTATAAGCAGATTTCTTCTTAGCACCTGGCACAAAGATCCGGGTGTAATACAAGTGTTTCTTCTTCAACAATCCCCACCATAAATTCAGCTATTAAAGGAAGGAAGGAAGGAAGGAAGGAAGGAAGGAAGGAAGGAAGGAAGGAACCAACCGACCGACCGACCGACCGACCGACCGACGGAAAGAAGGAAGGAAGGAAGGAAGGAACCAGCCAACCAACCAACCAACCAACCGACGGAAGGAAGGAACCGACCAACCAACCAACCAACCAACCAAAAGAAGGAAGGAAGGAAGGAACCAACCAACCAACCGACCAAAGGAAGGAAGGAAGGAAGGAAGGAAGGAAGGAAGGAAGGAAGGACATTCTCCCATAATAAGAATGTTAGTGCATGGAGGATCTATCAATGTTTTTCCCCCATAATAACAAAATGCATATTTCAATGTTCAAGGATGGCATATTTCTGCTGAACAGCAGGGAAACCTTTCTCCTTGTAAGATCTCAAAGATATCTAACTAGCCTACTCTTAGACATTATGATAACAAGTCTCATCCCGGAGAACTGATTTTTTTTTTTTAAGCAATTCTTATAGGCTCTTGAATTCTTCAACAATTCCAAAAGTGAACAAGAGGCAAAGCTGGCAACGGCTTCAGGTGCTGGGCTGGGACCAGAGAGACGCATGTCCCAGTTATCCCTGAGCTATGAAGCTCTCCAGGTGACCTTGGGCCGGTCTCTCTCTCCATCTCTCTCTGCCTGACCTCCCTTGCAGGGTTCTTGGGAAGAAAAACTAGGAAGGAGGAGAAAAGCCCATGGACATCATTCCAAACTCCTTGGAAGAAAAACGGGATATCAACACTGCTCATCACGTCGTAAATAAAAAAAGAGAAACTCTTACTTACGTTGGTGTTGCAGAGTTTGTGCTGCTTGTAGGCACCGGTGCACACAATCACCGCGGCCCTCCGGGCGGATGCCTGGCTTGGTCGGGAGACAGGAACACGCGTGCTGAGGTCCGTACCGTGGAACAAACTCTGGGATGCTGAAAAGGCTTGCAAGTGAGGATTTCTCTGTGAGTAAATGTTGCTGCTGGCAGCTGGAGATCTGGCTGAAAGCCTTTGAGGATCCTGGAAGAGGCTTCCTGGGTGTTGGGGAGGGTTCGCCAGCGGAGGAAACGGCCCCTCCGGACCCGACGCCTGCTGGTGTGCGGCGCGCCGTGCTGACTGTCTGTGCCGTCGCGGTTTGTGGGGTGACTGCCCCGTGTCTGTCTGCAGCGGGAGGATGTAGGGCACTTTTCCGTAGCCATATTTCCCGGGCCCGATGGGGCTTTTGTTTTTGCTTCTGAAAATGGAAAAACACAAAGGGGATGTGAATTTTGGAGCCCCGATGGAACGGTCGTTCTCTCCCAGAAATCCCAACATCCAATGTGCCTGGTGGCTGAAGAATTCTGGGAGCTGTAGATCCAAAAAAGTAACTTTTCTCAAGCTTTGGCTTCTGTCAACCTAGTCAGCGCTGGCTCCTAGGTTAGAAGGCAGTGGCTCAGTATGGAAAACTGACCCTTATCTCAAGGTTCCCATAATCCTCTACAGAAGGACTCCCTTGGATGCTGCAAATTATTTGAGGGTGATTTGGTCTTGAATGGGCCATTAAGAGCCATTAGCTTTACAGAAAACCCGTTCCTCATTTCTTTTATATTGGCTGTTCTCTCTCTTCGGGGAGGGGCTATCAAATCTGTTACGATAAACACCCGTGCTTCCAAATTTACTACTCTGAAAGACCAATCTTGGAAAAATGTCCTTGTTTAAAGTACAGATCCCAGGGGGAAAAACAACAAATGTGGTTCACCGAGGAATTATGGGAGCTGACCTCTAAAAAGCTACATTTTGCAGGCTTTGAACTGAGCAATCATACTGCAGAGCATTTCACTAGAAAGGCACCAAACACACATACGGGTGTGTGTTTCTTCCACCATTTTGGACAGAGATTTTGCTAGAAAAAATGCAACTGCAGAGATGGCTTCTCAAGACTCGTTGGGTCAAAATTCCTTATTTCTTTCGGTTTGTTTACTTTCTCGCCCACTCCCATTGTCTCCGAGGAGGTCTGGTTACCCCAACACCTTTGAAAGTCATTGACTGAGCTTTTCACCATTGGAGGCCTTCCTGGGGTTGATCATCAATCCACAGGCATTAAGCCCGTGTGAACGGGAAGTGTTGATTTAACCTGTCAGATAAGAAGCTGCCGATCCTGGCTTGTTTACACCTGTTCTTTGACAGCCACACAAGCACCAGTTCCATCCTCTCTGCCATAACATATTGAAACCTTATAGGATGGGGGAAACTGAAAGGGAACTGAATTACAAAGCAAGATCTGGGGATATAAGGAAAAGTGGAAGTAGCCAGTGTTGTTGATTTTTTAAAAAAGAAACAAAAGATACAAGGTAAGCCTTCTACTCTCTTCACCTGCAAAACATGGCATGATAGATAGATAGATAGATAGATAGATAGATAGATAGATAGATAGATAGATAGATAGATAGATAGATAGATAGATAGATAGATAGATAGATAGATAGATAGATAGATAGACAGATAGACAGATAGACAGATAGACGGATAGACGGATGGACGGATGGACGGATGGACGGATGGATGGATCCCAGCCCTTCTTACAGAAGATCTCCTGCTTTCTCCCCACGCGTCCCCAGAACAACCAAGGTCTGTACAAAGATACCCTACAAAATCTCGTAGAAAACAGCAACAAAGCCCAGTCTGATGATGGGGTGGGGGATACATTGCATACATTCACCTTTAGACCCTTCTTATAGAAGATCTCCTGCTTTCTCCCCACGTGTCCCCAGAACAACCAAGGTCTGTACAGAGATACCCTACGAAATCTTGTAGAAAACAGCAACAAAACCCAGTCTGATGATGGGGTGTGGGATACATTGCATACATTCACCTTTAGACTAGAATCCCATTTTTATCTTTCTATAATGCCAGACCACAGGTGGTGTGTAATAATTAAACGAGAACAATTAAAGAGATGCTGGGATGTTCGTGTCAATGTTCTACATTTTGAAACTGGGAGTGAGTTTCCTCAGTATCAGATTGGCTCACGCCCAGGGGTGATGTACAGATGATGTGTTTTTTTTTTCTTTCTGTATGCACAGGAGGGCTTGCTTGAACAGGGCTGGACTTTCCATGAAGAAGACGCACACCCCAGGCAGGCGATTTTTGGGTGTCATGAGAAAACCAAGAAGCGGTTCCTTCTTTCATTCGTTATTTGCATGCCAAGAACAGGGAGAGGTGCTCATGTTGCACATGCCAAAACAACTTGGCCGGTCTTGGGTTTCAGGTGACCTGGTTTCCTCGAGAGGTAGGCTCCATTTCCTGCGGTGCCTCGGGCAGCAAATGTTCTTGAGATGGTCCCCCATGTGAGTTCTGCAGTTGCATTCTGCAAGTGTGTCCCGCATGATGCATCTTGAACATGACTTGGTCTTTCTCCCTGTCGCCTTCCTCAGCTTGTGACTCAAGGGCATTTCCGAGTCTACCGGGCTTGATTTATCCAGGTCTTGTTCTCACACAGTGCTTGCTTCTCAGGTCTTCATAATATCAATTCAGTACCATTTTAATTGCATCATGGCTCTATCCTATGGAGGCATGAGAGCTGCAGTTTGGTGTGTGCGCTACAGCTCTTTCAAAGCAATTTCTAAGTCCCTCCCCAAGCAATGCATCCAGAAAGCGGCAAGACTGAGCGATGGCAGTTGAAGTGGTCTCTCCTTCAACATGCTCTAGCTGTGCAGGGCAGATACTCTTTAGGTTGGACGACAGGCTCCTGACATCCGTGGCTTACTTCTACTCATGCTACTGGAGGCTGTCATCAGCCTATCCGGGCCGGTCTTGATATGGGATCTTAACTCAAGACTCCTCCATACTTTTTATGTTGGTGCCAGTGAGATATTACAAACTTAGAAGTTATTCTCTAATCTCACTCAAAGAATACCTTAAATTAGAGATGGGCACGTCTCACTTTGTGCTACATCGTTGCAAGGTGTTGGTGTGGCACCACGGGTGCCATGCACTCCGTTCTCCCACCCCCACCCCAGCCAGCTCCCCCACTCGCCAGCTGGCACGTACCGCTCATCTCCTGCTCTTTGTGCAACCATCCTGTCTCAGCAGGAGCATGGACTTCCCTTCTCTGCCTCCTCCAGCAGCTGCCCACTCTAAGGCAGCGCTGCAGGAATCTCTCCTTGCCTGAGTGGGCAGCTGCTGGAGGAGGTGGAGAAGGGAAGTCTGTGCCCCTGCTGTGAATGGATGGTTGCACGAAGACCACGAGATGAACAGTGCTACTCACAACTGCTTGCTTAGATGGAAGAGATAACCATAGGTTTCCTTAAATATGGAAAGAAAGGACATGCCGACATGTTGAGTCAACTCAAGATGGTGTCTCTTCCAATTACCTGGATGAACAAAGTGTGGTCTTTAGGTCACATGTGAGCCACAAGTGTGGGCATGTTGAGTCAACTCAAGATGGTGTCACTTCCAATTACAAAGTGTGGCCTTTAGGTCACATGTGAGCCACAAGTGTGGTCCACATGAGCCCCCCTGCTGGGGTTCTGGGTGACCACTTACTTTTTCTTAAAGCAAGCCTTATATTGGATATCTTAGATAACTGAAGTGTGTGCAAATCAAGGCCACAGAGTCCAATCCCCGGCTCAATGCAGGGATTCAAAGGAAAGCTGATCTGACAGAAGGTTGTCCAATTTTCTCTTGAATGCCTCCAGCGCCAAAGACATTCACCTCGCATGACAGAGAAACTCATGCCTCTATTATTCAAACGTCAGAAAACAAAGGCTTAGCTCGGAGTGCCTAATTATTAACGTCTTTATCGGCATTTCTGTGTTCACCTTTGCCAACACCGCATCAAGAAAGAAACCATTAACAACTGTTGCCTTGCCTTTCGGGACTTTATGAGCAACCTTGGCAAGGTGCAAATTAGGAATGTGGTTTCTTGCTTTAAGTTAGGCAGTTAAGTGCTCCATTATGAGAAGAAAGCAAAACAAAAATATCTTGGGTGAAGCAAGTTTGCTCTTTCTTTTGCCCCCGGGAGATCCCGTTGAAAGGTGCGGAATCATACAAGGGTGGAGGTGGGTTGTTATTCTTCTGAGCTGCAACAGGTAAAACTCAGCACCCATTGATCCGTCCATATTTCATGAGCCACCAAGGTCACGTAAGTTCACCAGGTGAATACCTCTCCGTTCCTGAAGATCTCAGGACTAAAATTTAGGGCTGGGGGCAGGCACCGTGATCTTACAGGCGTAGGCAACTATGATGCCATCAGAAGCTGGTTATAGAATCCTAGAATCACAGAGTTGGAAGGAGCCTCTAAGGCCATCGAGTCCAACCCCCTGCTCCAGGCAGAGATCCAAGCCAAAGCAGTTCTTTCCCACCACCCCGACGTTGGAGACCCAGAGAGACTTCAGAAGGTGCCCTGGGCCCCTGAAGGCCACAAGCTGGAACACTTTCCTGGACAGAAAAATTTTGGAATGACTCCTTGGATGTTCTCAATGGGAAGGCTGGTAGGTGCTCCCTGTTCGTACTGGGGCTTTGCTCCGGCCCTTCCGAGATCTGGAACCCACAGAACCCTCACAGGAGGCGTGAGGGAGAGCCAAGGCAGATCCCCAACCATCACCAAAACTGAGGAGCGCATGGACCCAAACACAAGTCTCAGCTTTGCTGGCCCAGGTTTATTTAAAAAAAGCTCTTGGCGCTCTCTCTCTGTCATCCCTTGAGCCATAGCAGGAGAGGAGAGGAGAAACTCAGCAGGATTTGAAATCCCTTGCAGAGCTTCGGACCCAGGAAAATTGGATTTTGATCCAGGAAAGCTCACACTGGAATAAATGTCTGAGTCTTTAGAGTCCCATTGTGTTTTGCTTTCTTTTCTTTCTTTCCTCCCCGCCCCCAACAAGCCCACCCGTAATTTTGCCAACAAGGTAAGGCAGACAAACAAAGTGGAAAGGTGGCTGTATGGGAGTCTATGTGAGATATTTTCATACGGTCTTCGCCCGGCAGTTCCCGACCGCCAATAAACCCAACAAGGATTTCATTGAAGGTGGGATTTGTCTGCTTTTAACAAAAGTATGGGATGTCCAATTGAGCTGCTTATCCCAAAACGGACATGACGATAATCAGCTCCTTATCATCATCCCATGATCGTGCATTCTGCCCAGATTTGAGAGCTATGTGTGTGAGACGTTCATGCCTTTGTAGGTAGCAGTGCTGAATTCCTTACACCCACCATTCATTTAAATAGCACACCAGTTCGTGAAGAAAAGAAAAACA